CAGTGCTCCGGTCAGGCAGAGGTGGCTCATTTTTACATAAACTGAGGATATGGCCAGTGGCCAGCTTAAGGCATCTCCCCCTCTCCGTCTGGTATGCTGTGCATAAACAAATGCAACAGCTTCTACACCAGTGCACAGTGGCACTATGGATTTATGTTATTACATAATGTGAATATTTTGATTTTTTTTGGCTTTCATTTCAAGTTCCAGTCAGACATAAATGAACTCCTCGAAGCACTGACTTTGTAGGTCACTTAAATTATGTAGTGTTGTGAGGAGTGTGAGGGACCTGTTAATAAAAATACAAACGGTTTGCCCGTAGGAAAAACACTAGCCTATAATTTAAAGTATGTTCTTAGATTATGCAAAATGACATGGGAATCAGTCCATGCATTGGGGAGGACACTCACGAGTGCTCTTTCAGTCCCAGGTGCTTCCGTCCTGGTTTGGATTGGCTCAGCACTGCCATCATTAAGTCATGTGGTATTCATTTAAACAATTCAATCTGAGATACACTTGCATAAATGTATGATGTTTGTCATGCTTGCGATGTTTCTCATGTAGTGTAGTGTAGTGTGATTAAACAAAATCAATATGATTAATGCAATACTAAACAATATGGTATGTGAATTTATTATTGTTTTGTTGGTAAAAGAAAAAAAGAAATGAAGTGTAAGTCAGGAAATGTCCACTAGGGGGAAACCAAAGGCTGCAGGCGGTAGCGGACACAAAATATGTTTTGCGTCACAGCCAATACAGCTTGATGCACAGACAATCTAGGCTGCGTTCCAGTTTTAAACACGCACTTGCGAACTTCCCTAAGCACTTCCCCTCGGGGGAATCCCTGCCGCCATTTTGAAGTGCGTTCCACTTCGTGAAGTGGACAAGGGAAGTTTATATGGACAGACACTTGTTCCCTTGATTTTGTCCGAGGGAGCGAGTCTACTTTATGTACACTTCAGGCAGCTCCATATACCACAATGCAACATGATTGTGACGTCACCGCAGATCTCGTAATCACCACCACCACAAACAACTCTGATATATTAATTATATATATATATATATATATATATATATATATATATATATATATATATATATATATATATATATATATATATATATATATATATTTAATTTAAAACAACACAAACACACCTAGATTTGGATGCTGCATTAAAAAAATTCTTAAAGGAAAAAAAAAAATGTAAATAAATCAACTCCATGGCTGATTCCAAGTGATCAAGGGCTTAGGACGTTCCAATTCAGCCAATAAGCCTTTTTCACACTTCCGCAGTTTCCACCAGTAGTGGGCACTCGTGCAACGTAAGCAATGACGTACATCCGAGTGAACAAGACGGAGGGAAGTTAGCAAGTGAAGGGCATGACAATTTTGGACTGGAACGCAGCCATGTTATGTGAATTTATTATTGTTTTGTTGGTAAAAGAAATTAAGTGTAAGTCAGGAAATGTCCACTAGGGGGAAACCAAAGGCTGCAGGCAGTAGCGGACACAAAATATGTTTTGCGTCACAGCCAATACAGCTTGATGCACAGACTACAAGGAGTTCGTGTCGTCTCATTTATTTATGTCTATTTTCCCCTTTTCCAGGGGTGCAACATCTTTTCAAATAAAAGCGTCTGCTAAATGAATAAATGTAAATGTAAGTATTCCCATGTAAGACAGTTTCTACGCAACATTTTATAAATGAGGCCGGTATTTTAAAGCCTGCAAGGTCAAGTCTGTACATGTAGAAACACTGCATATGCAGGTTGTTGCAGCGTTTATGTTGTACAGTGCTTTTTTTTTCTAATCACAGATGAACGCAGGGTATATCATGAATGTTTAACGGAAGACAGTAAGGACATTTTAACGCAAATTAAATGAGAATTTAAGAACAATCTTACATTTGCAAAGTAAGAAATAATAAGAAAGACAAATAAACTGTGAGGGGAAACAGCTTCAAGCACTGTAATGTGGGGCCTCGTTTATAAAATGTGTGTATGCACAAATTTGAGCTTAGAGTGTGTGTAGCTAAAATCCACACCAATGTTCATATTTATAAAAACAGTGGAAAAGTAATTATCACCATGTCAGGGTCTAAGCAAACTTATGCACTTTTTCCCAGCTAACAATTTTATGTTCTGGGAACGTTAGTTTTTGGTTCCCAGAACGTTCTGGGAACGTTCCCAGAATGTTCCCTATTGGTTCTCCAGGAAAGTTTTCTTAACGTAAATAGAACGTCCCCTTAAGGTTAGGGGAACGTTCCGGGAACCTATTCGGAAAATGAAACCTAAAAAAACCCTACAGGGAACGTTCTGGGAACGTTCCCTTATAAAATAGAACCTAAAAAGAACCTACAGGGAACGTTCCTAGAACGTTCTCGTTTGGTTCCCAAAAAATAACCAAATGGGAACCATACGGGAACGTTAGGGGAACGTTCTGTGTTTGCTCGGATTACTGCAGGAATTTGGAAATCTAAGCAATTCTTACCACTCGCCATTATCAAGTAAATGATTTGAAAGTTGACCTGAATTCTTTATGTTAATTACATTAATTAGGCACCGTTTACAAGGCGGAGATCTGAAATCATTCAAATGCTTACAATTTCGAAATCATTTGCGATTTATAAATTTCACATTTGGAAGAGAGGTGTACGCAAGTTTTTTGACCACACATTTATTGAATCACATGTACGCACATTTGAGAAATGTAGGACGTAAAACTTCCTACATGTCTCACATTTGAGACATACGATGATTTCTGCCCAACATTTTATAAATGAGGCCGGTGATAAAATTGAATAGTAAAGGGCTAAGTACCAATAAAATACTGATTTGTCTTCTGAAGATAATTTGCTTTTGCCAAAATGAATTGTAAACCATAATTTGGATCAATACAAGAATACAGTAAAATTCGAGTTCAAAAATCAATGGTTTATTTTTTAATAAATTATTTATTTAAGAATAACATTTAATCTTTTTGATATATGTCTACAAATATATCAATACACACAGTCATATTTACCAATATAAAATGCCAAGCAAGGGCATTTGTGCACACTTACTGACAGTGATTTTAAATCAATTGGTCAAATGGACTGTACTGTAATATTTAATCAAAAGTAATAATTTACAGCCTTAAATTTAGAAAAGCAAATTTTAATACTTTTAAATGTGTTTTTAAGATGGTCACATTAAAATAATAAATGCAATAACAGAGAAAGAACATGCTACAGTGTTTATTTCTTCTTTTAGCTCAGATTTATTAGTTGCATGTCATACTCCAACGTGCATGAGTCATCATATGCTATTGAAATCTCAAGGGATCAATGAGAACAAGTCGTCTAATTTGATCAGCTAGACATTGACAAAAGATAGAGAAAAAAATGCACAAAGTATGCTTATTTCAAGTACTGTATGCTTCATTACAATGGAGGTACACAGTCTGTATCCACACACAGTGTGCTCACAATTGGCACTACAAGTCCTGCTTCAAATCTCATCCAATCAATCAAACAATCACCAACATAATGGCATTATTGAAACACCATACAAATATTCTCCATGGCAACGCATTTAAATGAATGCACACAAAAGTGCTTCCAATACACAGAAATGTACATGTACCAGGGTCAGAAATTAGGAGGCAAAAGTGCCCCATATAACACAGTGACTTTTTACCTGCCTTTAAACATTTAGTATATTTTGTGATATTCGGTTTTAGGCCTTTTTAATGATCTGTTTGAAAAGTAGAGAGCTGTATAATCTCAAACAGGTAACGGGAAATTATTTTAAATTACTTATGGTAGATGACAGGTTTTATTTTTGAATTCAACTGAAGAATTTGACAAATGGGAAATACTTTTATTTGTATTATATGTAATGTTTTATGTTTAAAAAAAACGAAAAACAAAAAAAACCTTCATAGCCTTTACTTTTATAGAGGTAAAAATGCCCATAAAAATCCATTTTACCAGAGGAAATATCGCTCTTTACCAAGAAAAAAAAAGTGTTAATTTTTAACACTGGTGCAGTAGTACGCACACTAACACATGCTCCAGACGCTCACACCCTGAGCCTTAGATCCTTCAGGTGTGAAATGACATGTAAAAGACCTTCATGGAGTGAAAAGTCCTAAAGAAGGAAAAGCTTTCCAGATTACCCCATCTTTATGGATGAAAGGACATGGCATATGCGGATGATGGCAAAAACCCTTTTCTTCTTACCGGAGGGGAAGGCTGAAAGAAGACATGCTTGAACTCTCTGAGATGTTGGACAGCGCTGAAGTGAGTGAACATGCTAACTCCAGCTCTGTGAGGGCGGACATTGGAAGAAGATGAAAGACGACTGCGGTCTCGCATCCCCTTTATTGGATTACGCCACATGGCTCAAACTCCAAAAATCTCTTTGGTATTTTAATAGACCTTTGCAAGGAGGAAAGGTAACGCTAGAAAACACGACTGGTCGAGCGGGATTGTTAAACCGTCACTTACAGTAAATTTAAACCATGACAGGAAAGTTGTGAGCTTGCATCGAATTTGAGATTTATACACAGAGACGCTCGAAACAGTACCAACTGCGTTTGAATTAGATGAAAAAAGAAAGAAAGAAAGAAAGAAAGAAAGAAAGAAAGAAAGAAAGAAAGAAAGAAAGAAAGAAAGAAAGAAAGAAAGAAAGAAAGAAAGAAAGAAAGAAAGAAAGAAAGAAAGAAAGAAAGAAAGAAAAATGACACCCTGTAATTGGTTGAAATGCAAAATGTCAATATGGCCTAATGGTTCAACAGAGGCTAATTGAGCAGCATAATCAAAATTTACCTATGTGTCATTCAAGTGGTCAAAGGAATAAGATTGGCTTAAAAAAACAAAAACAAAAAAACACGAAACAATCAGCATTCTGTTTTGTCCCTGAACTGAACAGCAAATACATGGCTGACAGAAATAATGGTAGAGATTAGTTTCTCCTGTTTTTGATTGCAGAAGATACACTGCAGCCTGATTCCAATTTTTATTTTTATTTTTTAAATTGACAGGATATGGTGGAATTTAAATCACTGCTGTGATTACTGTCCTTATGGGTAGGCTGGAAGACCGAAGAGTTCTGGTCTGAACTCTTCCATGCTTCTGAGCAGCAAGGTGGCCTCCTGGGTGAGGCTGTGGTCCAGGTTATCATCTGGGATCATCACCACCTGCATTCCAGCTGCCAGACCCGCCTTTACTCCATTTGGAGCGTCTTCAAAAACCAGACACTGTGAAGGCAGAACCAGAACAGACTAATCAATTAAAACACACAAATGTTCAGAGAGATTTGAACCCAGAATATTGAATAACTGTGTAGAGAGAAGATCTAAAAGCAGAAGATGGAAAAATAGAATACTAGAAATGCAATAGTACACTACGGTAGGTTAGGGTAAGATGCCCCTCGGGCCAATATTTCCCTTTATAATACACTGGCAAATGCATCATCATCCTAAACTTATTACACTTATATCTAAATATGTTACAATTTAAAAGTAAAGGAACATTGTTATGTTCCCTCATCTTCTCCTACTACTTAGTAGGATATTACGGAGCCATATTTTCACGAGTCTATCATCAGTTTAAAATGATTTTCTTATTCTTATACAGACAACTTTGTACAGGGCAAAGGAGGTATTAGGGTTAATGTTTGAATAAAAGCTTCAGTGATTTGTTAAAGAGTTTGACAACTGCTGTCAAGTGCATTTCAGAAGTTCTAAATGTCAGGCAATCTGTCTCTTGATCTAGATCTCTCCCTTTGGTCCTCTCAGTCATTCATTCATAGCATCCAAGTTCAACGAAACCACAACAAAATCAAGTTCAATGAACCACATCGTGGGCAGGAAGTAGCCAAATATCAGCCCACAATGTCACAAACCATCATCCTTCCACTCTGTCATAGGGACCATTTAACACTGACAATTTGTAAACACCACCATATGACACAGCTTAAAACAGTAATGTCTCACGTATACTTGAGCAGGAGTTTTCGTGTTGGTAGTGGATATTCTAATGATGCTGGAATTTGTTATAGTTTTGTTGAGCAGTCCTTATGGTTGTTATCAGTCATGGATCACGCAGACGGCTCTGTCAGATGGACACTACAATTCTCTATTGCTTTTGCTGGCTTGCTATCAGTTTTCATGAAATCATTAAACAGAATGCAGACAAGTGTGTTCTTGCTGCTGATATACAGCTGCAAAAAATGCAAAAATCTTGTTACAACTAGACCAACAGGTGACCTTTAAAATCTTGAGACCAATTAAACGATAAAGTAATCAAATTATACGTATAAAGGTCAGGCATCTCAGGCTTTACAGGCAATCTATATTTCAATATTTTCCTGGTTAACATGTGTGGTCGGTCAGCATTGGTTTGTCAAAGTCAGATGCTGATATCTACAAATCAAGGCGGCCAATGATCGATTTAATGCTGATAACGAATACAATTTAATGATAACAAATGAGATGTACACAAAATTACACAACCATTAAATGCACAATGTTTACTTACAGAAAAACACAAAATGTGTATTTTCCTTTGACATGGTCTCAGTAGATTTTGAAACAAGGGGGGATATGCGCTTCCATGCAATCAACCAGGTAAGCAAGTTATCTCACATGTTGGTCTATGTAGTAGGGATGCACCGAAATGAAAATTTTGGGCCGAAACCGAAAATACTGGATGAAACCAAAAATGCTTTTTAAAATTTTTTAATTATATTTTTTTATAACTGAATTGCTATTCGACTTTTTTTAAAAAGGAAATTAAATAATTGTAATGATACTGAATAAAAAATACAAGCCAATAAAATAAAAATCACACTTTTATTGAAAGTAACCCTTAAATTGGACATAAATTGGATCAGTGAACGAGAGGGAAGCATCATTACCAGTGTTGCCACAGCTATAACACCCCATGTTACAGCACAGTAGGGCTATTGCAAACAGAAACAAGTATACAAATATAAATTGTATGTCCGCGCGTTATTTGAGCAGACTTTTCCAATGAGCCGACGTTTGCATGGGCCGTGAGCAACTGAGCGTCACACCGTGCTGTGATGATGGCTAGAGAGAGAGTGAAACCTGAGCGCTGAACACTGAGGGGAGGGGCAGCATATATTTTCAGACGTTTTTCTTTTTCGACCCAAAAAACAAAAATGCCATTTTCGTCAGACGAAATTTCGGTGCATCCCTACTATCTAGAGTGTCAGGGTTCTGTCACTTCTGTCTAGTTTATATCTTGGTTTGGTGACAGAGCTCTGACACTCCCGGTTTGTCATGTGCTTGTGTTATAGTCCTGTTTGGTGTGAGCACATGGCTTGTCATGTGTTGCCTTGTGCCATGTGCTCTCCTGTCATTGTCTAGCCCTTCCAATCTTGTTATCTGATTATTGATTCATTTGCCCCACCTGCCTTCCCTATTTACCCCCTTTTGTTTGCTTCCCTATTTATTCTCCCTGTGTTTGCAGTCCTGTGCTGGTTTGTCATCTACTGTATCCTTGTGTTCCTGTGTCCTGCCATAGTTTCTGATGTATTGTGATGCCTGCGTTGTTTTTCCCCCACAGGGAGGTTTTGTTTGTATTTTGTTTCCTTTTTATTATTAATTAAAGATCCTTCCATTCTCGCTTCACCATTATTCCACCCGTGTGACATAGAGTCATAAAAGCCATCAGAGAGTCAGAATGTTTGCTTAAGAGCCACCCAGTACATATAATTAACTCTCAAGAACAGAGACTCCAATTTTTTGTCCACTCATCACATGGAGTGGACGAACAAATAACAAAAAAGGCACTAGAGATCCCATGAATGGCCCTAATTGACTGATGTCACTAAGCCAGTTGTATGATGAGTGAAAGTGCACACAAAGACCAGCGGAAGCACGGGGCTTACTTTGGAGAGTAAAGCTTAGCTAATTCCCTTGTACCGGGCACAATTACTTATAATTGAGCAAAGAGCCCAGCAAATGACCCATAATTACTAAGGCACGCATTTTTAGTGAACATAAAGGGGGAAAAACAAAACAAAACAAAACTGGAGGACAAAAGCTAAGCATAGCACAAATGCTGGATTTTTTTCGCTGTCAGCAATTTGAACTGAGCATCTTGTTGGATTAGAAATGGTCCAGGACATCTAACACAAGAGAGATTCAGTAATTAGTCATAGCTAGTATGAGAAGGCTTAAGATTCACACGTCACTTGAGCAGACAGCTGGGGATGAGAGGGTGAGACGACTGTCTCAAACACCTCTAATTAAGAGAGTGAATCAGCGTTTTACAGTCGGATTTGCTTCTCACCTCAGAGCATATGGAATGTTAGAACATAGATTTTTTGTTACCAATTTTATTTGAAATGTATTACAGTAACATCAGAAGAAGAAGAAGAAGAAGAAAAAAGTCTCAAATAAATAAATAAAATATAAGCCAAACTTAGACTTGGTGCAAATAAGCAATTGGATGAGAAAGAAAATGATTGAAAATAAAGATAGAACTGAAAGAGTGACACCATCCATGATATACCCTTTCCGTCATAAATCATACATCAGACACCTCCACAAATCTGTCAATTAGCATTTGCGGCAGAGCGATTCGGGAGCGGAGGTGCGCGGCAAAAACATAGCTATTTTTATTATGTAATAATTATGTATTAACTTTAACTAGTCAACAAAACATTATATTACACTGTTCTCAAAAATGTGCAGTCCAACTGCCAAATACATTGCTTGATTTGTGCTGTTCTTTTTAATGATTCAGTCAAACTGATTAGCGAAACAGACTTTACTGATCACTGATCTTGGCTGAATCGCTCAGTTGCGATACTTCCTTCCTGGTTTGGATAACTCGTGCTCAACCGCAAGTTATGTTATGTATGAGAACAGTTACTGTGTGTGTACATCTATATCCATAAGCAGTTCAATATCAAAATAAAAACTTCTAAAAACAAAAAAAACACACACGCACAAAAAACTATACAAATAATTTTACCTTTTATAATAAAGCTGTAGGTAAAAAGGTTTTTGCAGGTAAAAATATTATCAGTGCGACAAACTTACCGTTTTGAATAAAAAATACGCAAATATGTGATTTGTGCAGAACTAAGTTTTTTTTTGTGGGCAGGTGGCTGAGGGGCATCAGCCCTACATTTTTACAAAAAATTATGGTCAACACAAGACCTGGGGAGTTTTTTACATTTATGTAAAAATGGCTTTTGCTTTTTTGTGTTTTGTCTTTTTGATTGTGATATTGAGTACGGCAACATGAACGCAGAAGCACAAAACAGAAATCCGGGCTTCAACCCAGGTCCAATTACATACAAAAAAAAAAACATTTAGGATGCACTGATGTCTGCTGCTGTACAACAGGAAAAAAAAAATCACTAAAATGTCCAAGGCCATAAATGATAAAAACCTGTTGGACTATGGGCTTTTGGATCTCTCTCAGCAGATGCAAGCCAACTCACATCTCATTGTTTTTAATGTGAGTTGACGTTGTACTCACCACCACAAAGAGTTATAACAGTAATGGACATTGATGGGGAAGGACTGTGAGTGGTCCTTTCACAACAAAGCCATTGCTAATAATAGTTACCTCCCACAGATAACAAATAACAAAAAAATTAAATGATTTAGTAAACTGAGATATCCCAGCAGGTAGGCTAGATGTTTACTTGTTTAATTTCAAATAAAAAGCATGGTGGGTTATGAACAAGTGGCAAGGGTGACATAAGAGATGATATTTGGCCCTTCTACAGGATGGCAAAAATGTTATGCACGCATACGCAAACGTGCCACACTTAATGACGAGACATGAATTCTAGGATGATGCAAAGATGACCTGACACAGTGGAGTCCATCTACAGTCCAGCGCTCTGGGAAATGTCAGGGGCCAGATGACCATCTCAGCTAAGCAACATCACAGTGACTAACATCACGTGTTATAAAGGGAAGACACATAACTGATGTGTTTCTCAAGCTCACAAGCTACCACACACACACAGACTTAAATTAAACTGACAGACTATAACATGTCTTATTAAATTACCTATTATTGTGAGATCCCACAGAGGGAAGTATGTCTATGAAGCACAACACAGCTCATATGCGCATGGCATGATGTAACCATGAGGGAATACAGTCGTGGTCAGAATTATTGGCACCCTTGGTAAATATGAACAAGCTTGCAAAAAGACTGCATTGTTAATCGTTTTATCTTTTATAAAAAAAAAATATATATA